TTTCATAAGAAACTCTGAATGAGTGGCACTTGGAAAAGGGCAGATTTTGGTACAATCAAACACATCAAAAAATGGGTTCGAAGAAAGAAAAGGAACTAACAGCTATAGTTGCTTTGTTTGTTTGTTGTTTTTGGAACAAGATTTTACTACATCCGGGCTGGCTGTGAACTCATTATGTAGCCCCAGCTGGCCCCAAACCTGCAATCCATTTGTCTCAGTTTCCTGAATGCTGAAATTTCAGTGATGGGCCACCATCTATAGCTGTTTCCAATTGTATCCTGTGCTACAGATATTCTTGCACAAGTCTCTTGGAGTGTGTGGAAATATCTCTCAGGTATACACCTAGGAAGTAGATGCTTACCTATGGTAGGTGTTTTCAAATAATCTTCCAAATGGTTCATACCAATCTACATTCATGAAAAGTATGAATGCCCCATCCTTAAAGCTAGGCAGACATGGACTGGAAAACTGTTGGGAGGGATATTCTGGAGAGGATTCAAAACTTCAGGAGGTATTGTACAGCATATCTCTGCAGACCTAAGGTTCTGTGATTCTATTTCCTATTTGCATCAATTATAGATGTGCTCACTTAGAAAACAAAAACAAAATAAAACAAAACAAATAATAGACCAAATATTCTGAAGGTATAAACTAAATAGGGTTCCTTGGAATAACTGACCATAGTAGGTTTTTAAATGCTTACTTTCAAGCCATTAACTGACCAAAATTAAAGGAGGAAGAAAGCATAATGGCACTTTAAAACAATGCTCAAGGAACCATTGCCACATACAAAGTCCAACCATAAAGGAAGATGTACTATCAGAAACAAAGGAAGTCAAGGATTCAGTTCACCCATGGTGTTTCTCGAATACATGCATTCTTTTGAGATAAATTATTAAAATAGATTGGCTCATAAAAGTCGTGGTGTTCAGAAGCTTTATTGCCTTTCACTAAATCACAAAGCTTCTAATGCTCTATTCTCCAGGTAGTATCTGTGGCTAGATTCAACGTTTTCACACTTTCAGAGAAAGACAGGTGAAGGTTACCTTAAAATCTATGGCAAGAAAAATAAGCACTGTTGAGCTGGTAATAACCCAGGATATCATCCATTCCCTTTTCAGAGTCCATGTATTTTAACCAGTTTTCTGTTTAATAAATATTGCCACGGCTCAACACATCTACGAGAAGATACAACATTACCCAAAGCTCTCATCCTGTTTGCTAACTAATTATATAAACAACCTGAACCAACTTAACACTGTACAAAAACACAGCTGATTTAGCAATCTATAAATTATGCATGTACATAAATCTGTACCATAATGTGCTGCATTTCACTCCTGTTAATGTGTATGGATTCTTACTGGCACCTACAATTGTTTGATATAGGTTTTTGCACACTAAAACATACGTTCTGCCTAGAACAGGACCATTTAGAGTAATATTTTTGTAGTTTCCTGGCACTAAGATCTGCCAGCTGTCCTAAGACAGATCTCGTATTTACTTCAGTGAGCATTCTGACAAGGGCTTGTAGATTTAAGCAACTATCAAAAAACTATTCTGAACAACACTTTCCAAACATGACTATAAAGAAAAACAGGCTGGCTTTGCCGGCGTGGCAACAAAGTCAATAGGATTTTAAACAATCACTGATACGATCATAAGAAAAAACCCTTATGCCTGCTGTCTACTTACAACAATCAAAAAGAAAAAAAAGTAATCACCAATTTTTTCCTTCAAGTGGCATTCAAAATGTTATTTTTAACAATTAAATTGCTTTTAGAGCCAGCAAGACCAGTAAGCATCTTAAGAACTCTTTTCAAATACAATGACAGGCAAAGTAATAGTTCCAGCCAGTCAACAATGTGGAAAAGACCAAGATTTAGTAGGTACATGACATACTATGAGGAGAGTGAGTTTCTTGTTTTCCGTGATTTCCCCAGCATTCAATAAATATGTTCAGTAATCTCTGTTCAATAAAACAGTAATAATTCCTGGCTTGTTCTTGACCTACCTTTACCTACCTTTGTCTAACTGCCTTTTACTAACTCTAGGTGAATCACTTAACTTTAGGATTCTTAGTTCTCTAAATTCTAAAGAGGAGACTGCTCCTCCTTTGCTGGTTCATGAGAATTAAAGGTGACAGTCTGTGGAAAGTGACTTGGGACTTCAGTGGGAGCACAGATGTGGAGTGTTCCTTATCCACCACTGCTTCTGCTAAAACACTGACAGGGTGAAAAAACCGAATTTCCTTGAAACATGACTGGCTTCTCCTTTGCCCCATTATTCTGTTAGAATATGGTAGTGTGGCTGTTGGCCAAAATGGATGTTTTGCTCAGTATTCACTGGGAAATTACACTTCATCAGAGAAAATAATGGTAATACAAGGAATCTGTTGCATGATGTGTTATAAGAACATGGCCCCGGGGTTGTATCACTTCTGTCCTTAAATATTTAAGGAAAGCCACTTGCATCAGTTTCTCTGTACAATGAAGGGGAAGAAGGGAAAGTCTAGATAGTATCTAACATCCATCTCAATCTATAGCTTTATGATTTTCCAAACACTAGAGATTCAAATAAGAATCAAATAAGAATGTTAAAGAATGTTCCTGGTGAGTTACCTTTCCCCTTCAATGTCTTCCTTATTCAAATCAGCTTCAAAATAAGACTAGTTCTATCACCCATTAGCATTTGAGTAGTTTTTTAAAGGACAGCAAAACAGTTCCATGGATCAAGAGACAAAAAGCTAGAGAAACCATAATGCTGCAAGAAGGATATTCTCAAAAACACCATCCTCAGGCACTGTTTGCTCTGCCATTTTCACTAAGTCACATAATATTCTTAGGACTCAGTTTTCTGATCTGTACATACCACATAAGACCATTGGGATGAAATAGCTAATAACATAATTATGAAGTATTGCTATTTAAAGGTAAAATGTAATTTAAATGCTATAATCTCCAAAAATAGGTTGGTGGATTTTAGGAGGAGACAATCAATATTTTTAAATAGGCTTTTTCCATTACAGTAAAATAATTCATGTAGATACTGTGATATATGTAAGAGTTTACTTTTGTCCATTCATGTTCAGGGGATATTTGAAAGAGATCACTAAAAGTGTAATCCCCTCACTTCACAATGAGTACTTTTTCACCTGGAATAATAATTTAAATATTCACTCAACTTGCCCAAGATGTTTTGTTTTGTTGCTAATTGGTTAATTGAAATCAAGCTGTTGGAACTGGTGCTAAGATGAAAATTCCAGGGCTAAAAATATTCCCAGCCACTTACTCTAGTGGCACAGTTATTCACACACATGTTGAGGAAGTGGCTCAAGGATCAACTATAGGAGGCGGCATCTGCCTTCTTGGCCCCAAGATCTCAAAGTCCTCCAGCAAACCCAAGAAGCACCAGGACTGCAGCAGGTGAGATTCTCTTCCTACTCCATCAATTCACAAACCCACACAGCACACACTGGATATGTTAGATACAGGGAGTCCATCTAACATAGAGGAATTGCCCTCGATATTTATGTGAAAGTAATGTCACTGACAATGGCATCCAGAAACTCAACAGGCCAGTAACAACAGCAAGAACACACAGTAAGTCTTAAATAAAGAGTTTCTTTAAAATCTATAAACACCTACTATTTTCTTTATGGTGGCAGTTTATTGTGGCTGTTCCTTTAGGAATTATTGCCCTTTTGCAGCTCCAGGTAATGACTGTGACTTTGCTTTAAAAGCCACCTCTGCTGATTTGAATAAGGAAGACACTGAAGGGGAAAGGTAACTCGCCTTAACATTCGTATTCTTAAGAAACACACGATTTAAAAAACAAAAAAATCATTTCCAAGAAAGCACATAGGATGACTTACTATCCCAATTATGTTCTTTTTCTTATAAGATAAAATTAAACCACTTTTTCATTAAGAGTATTTATTAGTAGCACAAATTATTTTTCATGCCCTTCCCCTGAATTTCTAACAAAATCCAAATGAGAATTCATCGTTTAAAACACTGTCTCCTAAAGGCTTGGAAACTGTGGTATTTACACGTTATTAAAATCCATTTCCTGAGCAAGCTCCTCGAGCTCTCGGGAGAAGAATACCATCCCTCTCTAGAGGAAGGTCCAGGGCCTGCCAAGAGCATCTCACGCTGGGCTCCCTCTTCTTGCGGCCACCCACGAACAGGTGCAGGCTGCTGCTGCCCAAAGCCAGGACTGCTCTGCAAGTGCAATAGCCCGGGTCGCCGCGCTGCGGGTCCAAAAGGCAAATGAAATCATTCCCTTCGAGTTCCTGCTCCCAGGACTCTCCTCTAAGGGCTTCATCTGCTGTTGATCTACCCACAGGGCAACAGTGCTGACTGCTGATCTCTGGGCAATGAATCGATCAGTGAGTTTGGGGCTTCCTGGGGGTGCAGGACCTCATGGTGGCATTTGTACGTGTAACCATCTAGCTCACTCTGTCCATGCACTCCCTCCGGGGTCCAGGAAAACCATCCAACCCTCCTGAATCAACCTCGAAGAAGGTGGGTGGGCGAAGGTGTGGGATGAGGCAGTCGCCCCGGCCCACAGCTCGTCCCTGAGTCCCTACGTCCCTGCACCTCAGAAGTGGAGACAGCCGCATCTCTGCACCCCAAGCAGCCGGGCCGAGTCGACGGTGCCTGCGGCCGGCTTCCCTGGGGAAGGGGCTCCTGGGGACAGCCCCAGAGCCTAGGACCCTGCGAATGTGAGCGCGGCCAGCCTGCGGGCACTTTCCCGGGACTTCGCGCTGCTCCCTCGGAGGAGACGCTGGAAGGTGCCTAAGGAGCTATCCTATCCGGGGCAGGGGGCGACCCAGATCCGTCCGCCTTGCCCTCCGCCCGCGTGGGAGAGGTGGCCTCGGATGCCCGCGCGCCCTGGGTGCTACTGCATCTGCGGGCACCAAACGGCGGGAGGCGCCTGCGATAAAGGAATGGATGAAAACGTTCAAAATAAAATCCCCGTGGAACCCTAACCCTTACCATTGGACCTCCGGACAATATTCTCCAGAAACGTGTTCTGCGGGGCCACCAGTCCCCTCCGGCCGCCGGCCATGGTCATCCTCCCGGCGGCTCCTCACCGCGGCAGGCAGCTGGGCACGAGGCCCACGCGCGATCCCGGCTCGCAGCGCCCCATGTGTCCCACTGCGCGCCGGGCGGGCAGGGCGGCGCTGGCTTGGCTGCCACCACGCGCCCTGCGCCCCCTCCCGCCGTCCGCCCGCCGCCGCCTGCGGGTGGGCGGGGGAGACGCGACCGCAGGCCGGTAGCGCCCCCTACCGGGCGTAGCCTCTGCGGACCTGCGAAGACCGAGCGGGGCTCCCGCTGCAGTCCAGTGTGACCGGGGACAGCGGGCAGAGGCTGGCACGGCAGCGTCACCCGCTGGGCACAGCCGGGACCTATGTCCGGGAGGTGCAGTGCGCTGCGGGAGCAGCGCTTGGTGGATTCACCCCAGCAAGGGCCCTGAGATGTCACTGTCTTCCTACACTGTGCTCCGGGCAGCGCGGGGGATCTTTCCCAACACCTTGTTGCTCCGCCCCAGGGCTTGCTGGGTGATCAGCGCCAGATGCTGGTATTTTACCAGTGTTGAATGAAGTTGTTAGAGGGCAGGCTTGTAGAATGATTGGGAGGTTCTGCTCCAAAGATGTCGGCACAATCCTGTCCACGGTTCCCAGCAAATACTTTAACAAAGGCCAAGAAGAGACATGTTTGTATAATGCCTTTAGCTAAAGCACGATCTCTTACAAGTAGCGTGTATTAGAAAAGGAATAAACTGCCTGACAAATGTCAAAACCAAGGACTGGCCTCCAAGGGGGAAATTTGGGGCAGTTTCCCAAAGCGCAGCAGGGAGCAGTTACTCAGGCAAGGCTCAGCTTCGGTGTGCAGGACGTAGAGGTAGGTGCTAGCCGCACCTGTCCTTAGTAGAAATCCCGGGTACCTAAGGGTTCTGGACAGGAGCCCAGACCTTCCTCCTTTGTTCCAGAATCTTCATACTAGTCCTTTTGCTCCCATATGTGACATGGATATGGCAACAGAGTAAACCCCTCCCCCATAGAAGCGATGACATGGGGTCACCAGTCAACAGGAAAGTGCCACCGACCCTGGAGCCTTGACTTATCGGAGTCTACCGCCCTGACACCTCCTGTTATATTGCCAAGAAACCCTGTCTCAGTTCCTTCATCTCAGAAACGAAAACGAGTTTCTTCCCAGCAATGTCTCAGTAGTTGTGAACATCGGAGGAGACCGTGTGGGTGAAAGCATTCTAAATCTGAATTGCTGGACCAAGGTGAGACATCGTCGCTGGTGTGACTAACGAAGTGGACCTTTACAAATACAGTACCGCCCTCGCCTGGATGTCAGGTAAACAGATAACCTGTAGTGGAGAGTTCCATGAGGCTGGCACAGGCTTTGAAATGGAAGCACTGTTTCATCTTTTCCACGGGAAAACACTACCCACCGGGGAAGGCACGGGCTCAGAGACAATAGTATTCCTTAAACCCTAGCTCCGTCTAGTGGTCCTTCCTTCTACTGCAAATGAATAAAGGACACTGGCTGACGAGAACGGGACTCCTAGGTGTATTTGGTGCTGAACTGAGCTAGTGTGGTGTCTACCTACTGCATTTGATTGAGTTCATCTGAATAAAACTCTTAGGGTTGTGTTGTCTATTGCAGGAACACGCCTTGGGGAGGGATTTTTTTCAAGATGATATTAAAAACTCACCAAATAACCTCATAATCCTGCTTATGAAGATAAGCCTTAAAAAGAATGAGGGTAAAGGATCATAAAGAGTTAATAAAATTCTCAGATTTTAATGAGCTGTCATGTTCCATGGCTTAGATAAAAAAGAAACAGGTGAGATTCCCTCAGGGAGAGAGGTGTGAGAATCTGGTCCGCTATTGATCAGCAAAAGAGACAAGGAAATGCCTTTTGCTTTCCGTGTGCTGGAACCAGTTCTCAACACAAAATCCGCAGGCATGTGTGTACAGGCGCCTTTTAAGTACTCTAATTTTTAGTGGCACACTTGAAGAAATTAAAAGATCTAACGTGACACTAAAAGGCAGCTGTCTGTTCCCACTGTGACAGTGTTTTGGGGTCTGTGAAAGCGTAACAGCTCATCCCCCATTCTCTACCTGGCCCTCAACACATCTGACTGTAGGCATAGAGTCACACATTTCCTTGTCCACATTCTGAGGGGGGTTACAGGCTAAAGCTGCGCCAGTTCCAGGACACTCCATCCTTCCTGGTGCTGCTCACGTGATCCCCTACATTCTGTGTCAGCACCTCTCCTCTTGAACTTCCATCTGACTTCAACATTTGGTAACATGTTTGCACAGCAGTCACAATATACCCGTTTGCCCCTGTGTTATACAATAACATAAAATCCTTTTCATTTAAAGGCACAGCCATAAAGACTCACCAGAATGCCAACTGAGCTGCTTCCTGCTTTCTCTGTCTAGAGCTTTTACCACCAAAGAGGGTCTAAGAGAAAAGCTCCAGAACTTTTACTCCAGTGTCTCCCGGCTTGCCTCTCACCTCTGTGTTATTTTTACCCTTCCATGTAACACACCTTTGTGTCCATATCATACAACAGAACAAGCTCCTTGAAACAGTCAAATCTGAGCCATCCTTGTTGCATGATGAAGCATGCTGTATGTATGAATGAGATCACAAAATGAATAGATAGTGATGGGCATGGAGTGCAGCAGAGAAGTCAGAGCTGGAGAGCTGCAGATGGGCTGAGGGGCGGGGAAAGCCCAGATGACAACTCTCTCTGCATAGCAGTAACAACAACAACAACAACAAATCACAAGAAAAGAAAGATGATGTCACACCACAGAGGGGACAAATATCATCATACCAAGACAGGAACTGCGTTTTTTTCCTTTCTTAAGACCATCAGGTATAGGGAGAGGTTTCAGAAATCCAAGAATGCTTTGAACATAGGAGATTTTCCTGTGAATCCTGAAGGCGAGAAGCAATAAGGGGCAGCCCAAGGATTGCTGGTTGTTGGCTACATAAGCAAAGGAGACACTGGATGTAGTGGTAATTTTACCACTTAGCCTCCAGGGGCAAATATTTAACAGTGGGTTAATTCACAGCATGAACATTTCAGTTCCCGTAACCCAGTGACTGACTTTTAATTCAGTTTATGTAATTTTTATTAGCAAAATTTCTCACAGGTTTACATGGAAAACATTAGGCCAGCTCTATACACTGGAACTTGGAGAAGTGATTTTGTAGGAGTGTAGAGGGAGAAGTGTGAAGATTGGTATCATAGGCAGGACATTGGATCTAATGATTATAGAGTCATTTAAGACTATATTAGAAACGTTTTCAGTAGTAGTTGGGGCAAGTCAAATTTAAAAGGGTTTAAATTTTAAGTAAAAACATACAAATAAGAGAGTTAAAGCACAACTAGCTACTGCCTTTCTACTCTAAACATGCAGAAATGCCAAGTAAAATATTTTAAAATATGTTCTTACTATATTTCCAAACTCAAAAGCAAAAAAAGAATTTTAGAGATCAAAAAAAAAAAAAAAAAGAAATTTGTAAGCCGGGTGTGGTGGCACCCATCTGTAATCCCAGCACTTGGAAGGCTGAGGCAAGAGAATCACTGAGAGTTTGAGGCCATGCTTGGCTACAAAGTGAGTTCAAGGACAATCTTAACCACATCAGGAGACCACATCTAAAATAAAATAATGAAGAAAGAAAGAAATTCATAGGCATTAGTGGGAGTCAGTGGTTTAGTGGTTGAGACAGAAAGGACCTCAAAACAAATCTATCTAGACATGTCTATATGTATTCCCTAAATAGAAAAAAGCATAGAATTGTAGAGAAGCAATATTTAAAGGGATGATAAAACATTTTCTACAAATTAAAGAAATTTTCAAATTGAAAAGGCAGGATAAATAAAAGCTGCTATAGCTGTGTTTTAAATAAATGGCTGAATTTCAGTGAGATAAAGGGAAATTCTTAAGGACCAAAAACAAAGACAGAACTAAAATTCCACCCAGTACAGAGATCTGACACTACGGCTGCTCACCCAAGATGAGGAGGACTGAGCGGAAAACCATGTCAGGGCCAAGAGGAGAAAAGTTCTGTCATCATGCCAGAATTTATTCCATGAACAACCTGCTGTAGTAGAAATTTTTAAAGTGAAGAATATGGCTGGTACTTTCTAAAAAAAGAACTCTGATAACTATGGGACAACCTATCTTTTATATATATTTATATAATTTCTTTCAGCCTCTCAAACTAATGAGACAGTGCTATATTTACATATGTGTGTCTTATTTATTTCACTAATGAGTATGGTCTCAAGTTGCATCCATTTACCTATAAAAGTTTCCAGTTTATCTTTCTTTATCACTGAGTAGTACTCCATTGTATTAAAATACCACATCTTTTTTATCCATTTCTCAGTCAGTGGACACTTATGTTGTTTCCAAGATCTAGCTATTACAAATTGTGCTGCTATAAACATGGATGCACTTATATCACTGTGGTATGATGTTTTTAATTTTTCTGGGAAGCTACCCAGAAGGAGAATAGCTGGGTCAAATGTGACCTCCAATCCTAGGTTTTTGAGGAACCTCTACACTGATTTCCAAGGTGGCAGTGCCAGTCTGCATTCCCACCAACTGTGGAGAAAGGTTTTCCCCCACAGCCCCATCCAGCATTTGTTATTGCTTTATTTCTTGATACTAGCCACTCTTTCCAGGGTGAGGTGGAATCTCAGGGTTGTTTTAATTTGCATTTCTCAAATGACCAGTGATGCTGAACAATTTCTCATACATTTATTTGCTGTTCATATTTCATCTGAGAAGTGTGTACTCAGGTCAGCTGCCCATTTCTGGATTGGGTCTTAAATCTGGGAGGACTGATTTTTTTTAGTTTGTTGCATGTTCTCAATAGTAGATCTTTGTCTGAGGAACAGCTGGAAAATATTTTCTCCTACACTGTGGGCCGTCTCTTCACTCTTGTGGTAGTTTCTCTTGCTGTGCAAAAGTTTTTCAATAGGTTGAGATCCCAGGTGTTGATTCTTTGTGGTAGTTCCTGTGCAGTTGGGGTTTTGTCCATAAACTCTTTGCCACACCAATGTGTTCAAGAATTTAACTACTCTATCTTCTAGCAGATTTAATGTTTCTGTTTTAATATTGAGTTCTTTGATTCATTCCAAATTTAGTTGAGTGCATGGTGAATGATATAGGTCCAATTTTAATCTTTGGCATGTGCCAGTATGTGGTCTATTTTGAAGAATGTCCCATGTGCTGCTGAAAAGAATATGAATTTTATGTTGGGGGTGGGACACTCTACAGACATCTACTAAGTTCATTTGTTCAAAATTTGGTTCAAAAACACCAACTGCACAGGAACTATCACAAAGAATCAACACCTGGGATCTCAGCCTAGAAGGAAGCTGAGCTAACAGACCATCTTTATATCTTCTCCAGTCTATGACACAATCCCACTGGGGTCACAATGCAAGTGAGAAAGGGGGCTTACAATGTTCTTTTGTTTGCCACCATTCTGGACAGATATACTTGTTATTGGACTAGTACTTTTATTCCCAGTTTAATCCTCCACATCCTGAGGAACAGCAGTGGTTTTCTCTCTCTGAAAAGTCAGCATGAGTTGGACATCAAAATACAAATATGCTTTAGGCTGTGAAGTTTCCCATTTGATCTGATTAAGAATAATCTTGGAGTTTGTATCTTCAATTTGAACCTGGAATTCCCAATGTCCTGAATTTTTATACACTCCTAAAATATTAATACATATAATCCACAAGAGAGTATAAACAACTAAAGGTAAGCTACCCAAGAACTGTATTACATAACAGAGAACAAAGGCAGCCTTCCTATGGGATTTCCAGTGTACTGGAATTGCAGCCCAGAGACTCATAAACACTGAGATATTAAGGAGATAAGGATCCAAAATCAGGTAGAATAACAATACATTGAATCTATGATTTGACAAAACAGGTCAAGGTACCTAGCACAATAGTCACACCAATGTAGAAGAGAGTGAAGGCAGATTTATGGGTAACCCTCCATTCCTCTGAGGATACAGCCCCGGGTCCTACAACAAGCATTAAAATTAGCAAGAGAAAGAGCATTAAAGCCCAAACTGAGTAACAGAACATCAGTCAATTAGACAGATAGTCCAGTGGCTGATGTCAGTCTAATTGTCAACCAAGTATTGACCTACCTGCTTCCAAAGTGGCAGGAGAAAGGCTTCGAGTGTGTTGTCTCTTTAAGATGATCTCAAGGCATTTGTCTCCTCTGGATAGGCCTTCCCAATCATCAAGATGAAGCCTCTTGATCCTGGGGCAGTGGATCTAGGGTTGGATCTCTTGTCTTGTTTTTTAGTATCTGTCATTCTTGAGTTACCCAGGTCAGTTTCCACCCCCCCACAACGGCGGCCCAGTTGTCTGTGTACACATATAGGGGCCTTTTTTAATGTATCATAAGCAACCACACTCTCTGCAACTCTGCCCGTGGCTGAACCTGCCTATTGCAGTTTTAAGTCAGAGTACTTTTATACGGGGCTGGATAGTGACCACTGTCTATTGTGGGACAGGATCACAGCTAACCCATTACTACATCTAGCAGCAGCTGGAGATCCCTCTTTCCCTTTTGCTTCAGGATTAGGGGTCAAGTCCTGTAACTTGTTTTCTTGAATGGGTTCCTGGGCTACGTTCATCATGGGTCCCAAAACCATTACCCATTTGGCTGCCACTGGGCTAGCTGAGAAAGAGACCTGCTATTGGGGGTATGTCCCCCAAAGCATGAGAGTGGGGACCTGTGTCACTTTATTTCTGGGATGGACTGGCTACATATGTGTCCTGTTATTTCTCATAGATATGTAGAACAGAATACAGTGCTGCTATTTTTCAGTTCAGGAATACCTGTTCTCAGCTCCCTTTGTAACTGTGACCAAAACCCCACAGGGTGCCTTTGCTTTCCCTGTTTTTGCCATAGGCCCCAACCAAATCCACTTCCATCCACACTGATGGTCAGGATAAATGGCAGGTGAGGGTCAATGACTCCTACAGCTTGCACCTGTGCAAATAGCCCTCTTCAAGTCCTAAAGAGCAGCTTCTGTTGCATCTGTGCAGCCCCATGTCATGTCCCTTTGGTCATCTTTTATAAAGAACACAACAGAGTAGTTAGGTGTCATACATCTGCCAAAAACCTAACAGGTCCATGTACTCATGTGTGTATCATTATGGACCTGGTCTTATCTAACCATATAATACCCAAGAATTTGACAGACAAGCCAGTTCCTTGGAACTTGTCTTTATGTTTTACTCTCATGCCAGATAAGCTTTCTTCAGACTGTGGTTTCCAAATCTGTAAGACAATCAGGTTAACATAATATCATCAATACAAAATAGTGACACAGAATGTGACTTGGTCCAGGTGGCAGGTCCTGGGCCACTAGACCATGACACAAAGTTGGGCTATGCAAATAGCTATGGAAACATCTGGATGATCCATTGGAGCCCTCCCAGATGAAGGCAAATTGGTCCTGACTGCCAGCATCAGGGTAAGTCTTTACAGTCATTCGCCAAAATCCATCTGGCTTCTAAGTGGTCATACTGAAAGGCTCTGTGCAGAGAGTATCACTGCTACTTTTTCAATTTCAAGACAGTTTATCTCATTGTATTATGGCTTTCAGGCAGCCTGTACTGCTTCATTATATAATCAGTGTGGACTGTGGGAAAGTCAGCAGTGTGTGGTATCGATAGCCTCAGATCGCGGTTTTTATCATGTGATTTCACCACTGGAATTCCTTCTGCATGGTGTTGTGCTGAGTACAAATCAGTATGTCCACCCTCAGTGTGCATTTAGCAACTGGGAAAATACAAACATGTATTTCAGGCATGAAGGTAAGTGTCTGATATCCAAAGTGACCTGGGTCTTCTAGACCCTGATGTAATGACCTTTATATCCTTTCATGTATGCCATATGTCTGTAAAATGGTCTGATTTGTCACATTAGCAGTGATGCAGCTCTAATATCTATCAACATTGCACAGTAAATAGTCCAGCAAATTTTGGGGGATCAGTAAATAGTTGATTTTATATGTGGCCTCTGGTCTCCTGGGACCACCCCCACAAGACCTGGGTAGTATGGCCTGCCTCCTAATCAGGGTGAAATGGGGCCAGTGTCATTTCTTCCAGCTTTGCTGGGGCTTCTTTGGCCTTCTGGCCCTGGCTCATTAGCCAGTTCTACTGCTTAGGGTGTGATTGTCTCAACAGAGTCAGCAACACATCTAAAGGCTGTCTAACTTATCTGTGGCTAGGTAGGCAGCCAACAGGTCCATCCAGATCTGGCACTAACTGACCTTCAGTGGATCCATAACCTGCCCTTGGGGAGATGGCTTCTTTTCTTTTTCTCCTTTGTCAGTATAGTTTTTGCAGATCTCATCTTACCATAGCGTTTTATTTTTTGTCTCTCAGTCTGGCCAAGGAATCAACAGCATCATAGATCAGCTGATCTGTAAAGCAGGTTAGAAGGCTGCCACTGATCAAACATGCTAATCAGTCCACTCACTGGGATCATGTCCTTTAAGTATGTCATCAGCAGTTCCTCATCTGGGCTACAGTAATGCAGTGAAAATATCATCTACCTTATTCCCATTTTATGTCATAGAGTTTTGAAGTCTAGATAGTGACTTCCTCCAGCAGGTCATCTGGATTCTCCCAAACCAGGTAAGCCACTGCCATCAACCAGTTTATCACACTGATTGCCTACTTCTTGGTGTTGTCTTCTGTATATCCTGCTGAACCCAGAGTGGGTGCTGGCCATGTTGGCTATCTGGAACATCTCCTGTGGGCTTAGTTACATGTTATAAGCCCCATCGTCCCATAGTTGTAGCATCACACAGGCACTGTTTCATTCACCTTTTGTTTTGTTTTTAAGCTTGCAGTACATCCTCAGGATTCAAACAGACTGTTTCCTAGTCCTTCGGTTGACAGAAATGTGGCTACAGGTAGCCACGACAATGCCGCAGTCATTTATCAGTCATTCTCCAGGGTTTTCCCTCACTTTTGGGTGCTTTTTTTCATAGTTGTCATAGAGCCTTGATCTTAATGACCTAAAGTCAATTTGTTTGCCTCCTTGAGTGCCTGCAAATGGGGAGGCCATTCTCTTGACACTGCGTACAGTGTTTCAGACAGGTAGGTGACTGGCCTCTCTGAGGGACTAACAGCCTGAATAAGCACATGGAATCTCCGACAGTCCAAACCACAGTGGCACTGACAGCTCAAAAATCCTGAACAGGTTTACAGGAAGGAGAGGTATGTTTGAACAGTTTGACAATTTTTATTTCTGCATGACAATTATGACATTATTTTTGTAACACACTTATATGTCCATATTAGCATTGAGTAGGGTAACACACAACACGTACATCACATAAATTTTAATAGGTATCATTTGACTGGTAGTCTCATGTTGATTTGACCATTTCCCTCATGGGGTTTTTAGAAGGAGCTAGGGATTTAGCTCAGCAGCATAAGCCTGGCAAGTGTGAGGTTGTAAGTGGCCATACATATATATTCTTTGAATAAACTACTCCCAGAAGCTTTCCTTGATGTATATAAGCTTTCTAGTCTTATCACTGTCTCTCTTTTTATCTGTTTTGCAGGACAAGACTTTCATCATATAGAAAGAACCCTCTCATACCAAAAGTATATATCTTATATTTTATCGGTTTTTAAATATTGCTTCTCTCCCAATTACTATTATCTTTTACAACAAATTAGACTGTAGCCACTTGAATTTTAAAGTGTCCCTTTTTGTCCTCAAATAGTAAAGTGACTGTCAACAGACCTCTGAGTAACCTGGAGTCAGTGTTTTTATTTTAAAACAACAGAGTTTTAAAAAACCAGCAAGTTAACCCTGTAATCAAAATTTTGTAATGCATAAAAAGTGCTTTATGCACATCAACTCAAGCTGAAAACCAAAACATATTTATCAATTAGTTAACATTTTCAATTTGATTTTTCCTGTAAAATGTCAAGCAAGAGTTGGTCTTGGATCTCCCCAAACCAAGAGGAGAGTTTGGGCTCTGTCTTGTTGCCTTGCTCACTTTGAAATGAAAAAGACAGTTTCTGTTTTGTCCCTTTAATCTTGACACACACAGTTGGGCTCAAATCTTTTAGCCGGTGTCTTCATTATAGCTTACCCACAGGCCAGCTGGCTTTTTAAGTATTCTGAGGCTTTTTCCTCTTTTTTATTATTCTATCTGCATCACCTTTCCTGTGTATTTTGGTGTGTTAAAGCTAAGCAACTTTTTCATGTCTTTACTCGTTATAGTATAAATAATTTTTTCAATTACTTTTTTTCCAGATTGTTTAAACTACTTTTTTCATTCCTAGCTGAGTTCCTGGGACATTGGATTCACGTATTTTATTTTGTACACATATATACACACATTCACACACAGGCACACAGAAGTGAATACATTGCCACCCCCAATCCTGGGGGCAATTCTAACTGGAACAGCAGTCGCAGCTGACTACTCTGACTAGAACAGGAACTGGAACCCGAACAGGTGTCAGATGTAGATGTCAAGCAGTGATCACTTCCTTCTTCACCTGCAATGAAAGCAGTAACAAGCAGGTGAACAAGCAGGCACAAGCAGATAAACAGACTAACTGTAGGACACAACATGGCCTGACTTATCTGAGGACCTGGTCCCATTGTGTTCTGATTCTCCCCTGGATATGATGAGACCTCCACTCTCTTGCATGAGTCCTCTCTCTTGACTACTGAGGAGACTCCAAGAAAAATCCAAAGGGCATGCCTTCTCATTTGCAGATCAAAAGATGGGTCCCAGCAGTGGCCAGCAGGCCTACGTGCGTGGTCTAAACAGCTAGAAAGGTGTCTTCTCGGACAATGTTGGAAATGTTTCTTCACTAAATGTTGCAGATAAACTAATATCAAACTAAATGGAAGATTCTTTGTACCAAGGAATCTAGAAGACAACTTGTTTATTACACTAATGGGCTGACAGGACCAAGTCCAAATCACCAGGCCATGAGTAAATTTTGTGTTCAGTTTAAGTAAAGTTTATAAGCAGGAAATACAAGGCAGATGGCAGGTTATTACATGATTGTTTCCATGAATTGGATTAAGCCACATATTGTCAGGCAGGCTAATTTTAAATATATTTATTTAAAAGCAATTGTTTACCATAAAGTAGGAACATCCTGGGGATGAGGTGAGGGGATTCAAGCAGAGCAAACAAAGTTAAAGATGTCCTTGACTGAGCCACTTTATCCATACAAAGACCTTGAAGTAAGCTGTAAGCTGGAAATAATATATAGTGTTTTAACTAAGGAAAATAAAAGCAGAACATAGTCAAATTGACCTATTATCAGAATTGACCACATTATTATCAAATTGACCACATTATCAGAAGCAAAGCAGCTGGACTCAGACAGTCAAGGCTGGCTGAATTTTGCAGTGTCCTTATGTGACAAGCAACAGAAGCATAGACAGAGGCTACTATTTGATTTTTAATGTGCTATAACATGTCTGTAACTTTATAGTTATTTGTAATTTTATAACTATCTCTTTACCATTCGTATAATTGTGCCCTTACAATGCTAGGGGCTACTTCACAGTTCAAGGAGGTAGATCTTTGCCAGCATGCCAACTCTCACTGGCTAGTTCTCCCATCCTGCCTCCAGGTGCCATGGGTTGGACACCTTTCCTCTACGGTGCCCTTCTGCCATCCACTCCTGCTGTGCAGCCAGTCAAGTGTGAACTGAACTGCAAGCCAAGGAAAAGCCTCTCCTCCTCTAAATTGTGGGGGTCAGGCATTTGGCTCTAGAAACAGGAGAGTTGAGGAGTACAGCTTCCTAAATTCATTTGTGGGACTGAAACCTACAAAATGTTACTTTGTTCCAATTCTAAAATCACTCTTGTGAAAGCTAGGTGAGGTGGTGCATGCCTGTAATTCCAGCAATCAGGAGGCTGAGGTAGGAGGACTGCCATGAGTTCAAGGCCAGCCTGGGCAACATAGTGATTTCAAGCCAGCCTGAACTATAGAGCAAGACCCTGTCTCAAAAAACCAATAAAATAAAGTAACTTTCATTTAAAAAGTTTTTATGATCATTGTGTTAATTACTCTTGTAACTCAATTGCCTTCATAAAGTTTCCCTCCCAGAACCCACAAGACTTTAGGGAGACATTGAGATCTAAACCACAACAGTCTTCTAACAAAAATATTGATGAGTCTAATTAGTACTTTGCTAATTTCATTATATTAGTTACCCATTGGTTAGCCATGTATACAAATTATACATGACTTAGCAGCTTAAAACAAACCAATATCTAGTATCTCAAAATTGACAAGGGTAAGCCATTCAAGGACAGCTTGGCCTGAGTACCTTTGGAACATGCCTTCTTGTGAGCCTGCAGTCACATTGTTGGCTGGCAGCACAGTATTATCTACAGGCTCCACAAGGAAAGCATCCAAGTTTATGGTCTCTTACGGCTTCCAGCAAGCTTTAACTCTTCCCAGGTTCATAGGCAGAAGCTCCTTCCTTTGCTAGTCACAAGGGTCTCTTCACAGGCAACTCAGAATATAGCAGCTGAGCCAGTGACAGAGCCAGTGACAGAACACAGAGTGAGTATCCAAGATGAAATCACAGACTTGTTGTGGCCTATTCTCAGAAATGACATCTCATATCCATCACTTGTTATATTTTGTTCAATAAAAACTGAGCCTACTAGTTTTGACCCTAAGTAGCTTCCTTTTACTTTGGTTATTCAACTATTGTCCACCATAAATATTCTGTATTTTTAAGATTTTCAGGTCCCTGAAATCTTCTATTCATTAGCATCATCAGCAATACCACGTTGACCTTTATTCCCCTTATCTCTACCACAAAGTACCTAGCACCTCATGGTTACAGTCTACAGTCTGCTGGCCCCAAGGACAAACAGCAGAGGAGCATAATGGAGGAAAAGTTACTCACAGCATGGCATCCAGGGAGCCTAAACAAGGGAGCTGGTGATAGATAAATGCTCTTCCAGAGTAAGCCACCATTGGCCCAGAACCCAATTTCAATTTTGTGCCTCCCCAAACAAAAGACAATAATTGGGATTCCCTTCTACCACAAACGGTGGGTTTACAATCTCTACTACCTCTTGGCTTTCCACCTTTTAAAATAGTACTCTCTGGATCTCTTCCACTGTCACCATCTCAGGAGGTATCTTTATACCTTCTCCACTTCATGCCTTGAACACCTTCTCTTAACTGAATGTCCCTCATCATTAGAAAATAAAATGTACTGATCCCACTTCCCACTACCAGCTGCTCGCATATATTTCCCCTTTACCAATGATGTTTAAATAGCCTGCACTCACTATTTCCACTTCTTCACATCCCATGTTTTCCTCAGTCCCTCTGTTTCCCCTCCATTCTCTATAAAAGTGATTCTCACCAAGGGCCTTTGTTTTAGTTACTTTATGTTCGTTGCTGAGACAAAATACCTGAAGCCCAAAGTTGGGAAAGGAAAGGTTTATTTCTTACAGTTTTTGGAGGTTTCAGTCCACACTCAGTTGTCTCCAAGACAGGCAGGCATGGCTAGGCTGCAGTTCATGGTGGCCGCCAGCAGCAAACTCGAACCAGCAAAGAGAAAAACACACCTTCCTGCCATTACATCATATCCTGTCTCCACCCCTATATGGGTGGAGCACTGACACCATCAATCCAAGCACTATACAATGAACCATCACAAATGAACAATGCAAACTCATGAGGCCTGGGGGACACAAACATAAACCATGACAGCCTTCATAACACTAAGGCCTATTAACATCATTCAGCTCATATTACTGGACTTCTTGGTGGCATCTGAAACATGCTTTTCTTTCAGATTCTGGATCCCACAAATTAATATCCTGTTGTATCTCTATAGTAGTGTCATTTATAGATTCCCAGTTCCTTTAAAAACATTTCTGTATTCAGTCTCACTGCTTGAATGTCCACTTTGTATGCTTTAATTTTGTAACTTGAACAACTATTTCTAAGATGACAATATGTAATCTATAAACTAGTGATTTCTTACTGTTTATTTTCTTGAAATTCTGTATTACTTGCACCCTTTTTCTGTTTTTTTTCTTTTTCTCTTTCAATAAAATTTTTAAAAAATTTCTGTATTGTGTCAATTTTGTTTATTATGAGTCCCATGTTACAAATAAATGTAAAGTGACACAAGCAATGCCTGGCACACGAGCATTTGTTTTTGGTCATACACTTTATGCCAAAAAATTTCCTTTCAGCATTCTAAAAGTGGTGTATGCAACCAAACTGCCTGAAATTTAGCGACTGTGGGAAGAAGAAAATACATAAGTTCTAGGAAGCTAATGTCCTCTTCTCCCCTCCTTAGTCTTCCAGGAAGTTGTAGAAGATGTGGCAAAGGCACTGAGGGTGTTACTACAGATGATACACTTCCAGCCAAACATACTCATCCCACTCTAACCACTACATTGCCTACTGAGTTCTGCCTTCCTCTTCCTTCTCTTCCTCCTCCTCCCCATGCCAAGGACTCTGAATCCTCCATGGCCTTGTTAACAGAATATTTTTTATCCCAAGCCACACAAATGATTACCCACTGCACCTAGTGGATAGCAGCATAAAAGGATTTCCTTCCCTCTGTCTCACATTGGGTAAGGTTCAGAATTGAATAATAACTTCTCTTTGTGGTTTTAAGTTACTAGGTAATTATTGTGGACCTGTTTGGATAGCTTTGGCTTGGTTACACTACACATATCCTTGTTATCACAAGATTTCTCTCTTCACCAACTTTGGGTCTGCTTTCCTCTGCTCTTGACTTACCACTTGGTATTCGCTGTGGCCATTCTTTCCTGAAAACACAGTGTCCTCACTGACAGGTCCCTCTGTGGCTGCCTGTGAGTCATTTCGTATATTATCTTTGGTAAGAGCTGCATAGAATGAATTAGCATGTAATTCATTTAATTTACTCATATAAAGAAACAATCAAACCTTATAACACAGTTATAAAAGTAGCATTATAAGTCACCCTGGAAGAAAATAAATAGGGACACAAAGATATCACAGCACATATGCTTTCCCAATAGTTCCTCTTTGGAAGAACAAGTACAAAAATAACAGAAATACATGCCAAAGAATCATATCAATTTGTGAAATAAATGCCAGAGACTAATTCTCTTAATATTCTTGAAATTGTGGAGAATGCTCCAGGAAACCAAAATGTTATTCATTTTTTTATATTTTAGACAGGAAAACAGGAAAAAAGGATAGAAATGATACAGAATTTTAAAAAAAAGAGTGGGTAAATGACACTAGTTAATATATTGAATATTGTTATCTTAGAAGTAGTTTTTCAGGTTACAAAATCCAGGCACAAAGGTGATCAAACAATGACAGCACAAACTGTTCTTTTTGATGAACTAACAGAGATTAGTAGTATAGTTATCTATCTAGCATAAATATACATACATATATACATTTCTATATGTTTATTAACATAATATAATCTTTTCCTTTCTTCCTTGTTTCCTTTCCTCTATCCTAGCTGTTCTGTTCTTTTGAACACTTCCTTTCCCTTTCATCATACTATATCTATTTTATATTTTGGATCTTATTACACTTTCAGATTTTTATTTTTTGTATACTTTAGAATATGTAGTAAATAATGAAAGCAGATAACCTCCATTTGAAGAATAAGCTTCATTCTTACTTTCTTTGTTAGAGAAAATAATATTTACACTCAACATTCCACTATCTTAGAAAAGAAACTGAAGCTGAAAATATAGGAAAAAAGTTAAAAATTGTACAACTAAAGTTACTTTTCAAATCCTGCTGAGTAAGATATCAAGAGCCTAAACACAAGAATACGTTTTCCTGATTTTCTTCAAAAGATATAAGAAAAAATTATTTTGAAAATCAGCATTGTTTATACACATTCTGAACAAATTGATGACAGGTTATTAAACAAATAGGTTGAGATCTGGGAAGGAAAGTTAACTACTAAGCACTAAAATGAGTAACTCAAGTAGAAAAAGAAGATCATGAAAGCCCTGGTAATAAGCTAGAGATTACTAGTGTCTTCCATGAAAAAATGCAGTGTCCATGATGTCTCATTCTAAGGGGTCTTTGTATCTTTCATGGGCTTTGAATTATAAGTTATAGACAACTGGAAGAAATGAAAATCATTCTTTTCCAGAGACATACTAATTATTTTTTTGGTGAGAGTTCATTTTTTAAAATTTTTTTAATTTTGAAAGTAGTAAAGTACAACAGAATAAGACAGAATAAAGCCAACTGAGCCAGTATAGTGAAATTGGTATAGAACTTCACAGCAAACTGAGAGTTCATTTGATTTTGCTTATCCTATATTAAATAATTAAAGCAATTTTTTATATATTCCAGGAGGCTTATATAAGTGTCTGATTTTTTGATTTGCCTTTGAACTATATTTGGAGCATCTTATAGTTCCCTGTTTAATTAATGAGTTGAATGAAACTTTGACCTGTACTTATTTCACTTGCGCACAAGATGCATGATTTTTCTTTAAAAATAGATGTTCTACAACTAAACCAACTCTGCAAAAATATTCTAGATAGACATAAAGATAACTATGACTTTCAGAACACCAACAGAAAAAAACTACTAAGCAATACAAACAATTAAACAGAGGGGAAAGGTAAAGAACCAACAGCAGAAAGATAACATGACAAAAATAAGCCAACATACATCAGTTATAACCATTAATGTAAATGGCCTTAACTGACCAATTAAAAGAAACAGATTGGCAGAATGGATCAAGAAACTACATCCAACCATATACTGTATACAAGAAACTCTTCTAACCCAATAAGAAATTCATACACTGAAAGTCAAAGGATGAAAAATAATATTTCATGCAACAGGAACCCCCTCTAAAAAAGCAAGGATAGCTATTCTGTTTGCAAACAATGTGAACTTCAGGCCAAGAATAATCAGAAGAGATAAAGAAGGTCACTACATACTAGTTAGGGTAAAACTTCAAGACGAAGAGATAACAATACTAAATAAATATGCAACAAATATGGGCGCACCCAGCTATATAAAACAAATATTAATAGAAAAAAAAGATAAGCAATAACAAAATTATAATTGACACAAAGAGGGAGATCAACTAGACAGAAAATCAGCAAAGAAATAACAGAACTGACTCAAATGTGTGAACAAAGGGACTTAGTAAATGTGTACAGAGTGGTCCACCCAGCATCATCAGAATATATGTTCTTTTTAGCCACACATGGTACATCCTCTAAAATAGACCATATACTAGCCCATAAAATATGCATAAGTAAATGCAAAAGAACTGAAATTACTCCATGCAGGTTATTGGATCATAGCTTCATGAAACTAGAAATTAATGACAAAAGAAACTGCAAAAACCCCATAAACATGAGGAAACTGAATAATATACTCCTGAGAAATCAGTGGGTCACAGAGGAAATTAAAGAATAAATTAAACAATTTCTACATGCAAACAAAAATACAAATACAACTTACAAGAATGTGTGGATGCAATGAAAGCATTGCTCAGAGGAAAATTTATTGAAGTGAATTCTCACATTAGGAAAACAGAACAAACACAAATAAATAACCTGATGCTACACTCCAAACATCTAGAAAAAGAAGAGCAAGTCAAAACCAAAGCTCAAAAAAGGGAGGAAATTATAAAGGTCAGAGCAGAAATTAATGCAATAGAGACTAAGAAAACAATACAAAGAATTAATGAATCAAAGAGTTGCTTCTTTGAAAGAATAAATAAAATTGATAAGCCTCTAGTCAACCTTATTAAAAAAGGAAAGAAAAACTCACCTTCATGCAATAAGGAATGAAAAGGGCAGAATCATTACAGATTCTGGGGAAATACAGAAGATTGTCAAAACCTACTTCAAAAATCTTTACTTTCATAGGTTTGATAATATAGAAGTGGACAGATTCCTAAACACATATGAATTACAAAGCTAGATAAAGAAGATGTAAAATTACTGAATTACCCAATTTCACTTCAGGAAATTTAAAATATAGTTAGAACCTTCCAACAACAACAACAACAAAAAAGCCTAAGTCCTAATGGATTCATTGTGGAATTCTACAAGAAATTCAAATAAGACTTAATGCCAATACTCCTCAAACTCTTCAATGAAATTGAAAGGAAAGCAATTCTCTCTAACTCATTCCTGGAAGCAAGTATTACCCTAATACCAAAACCAGAGAAAGACCCAACCAAAAAAGAGAACTACAAACCAATCTCCCTAGTGAACATAGATGCAAAAATTCTCAGTAAAATACTGCCCAGCAATGCAGCAAGTCATCAAGAAGATTATACATTATGACCTAGTGAGATTTATCCCAGGAATGAAGGAATGGTTCAACATACACAAATTGATAAACCTAATACACCATATCAATAGAGCCAATGATAAGAATTACATGGTCATTTCAATAGATGCAGAAAAAGCTTTTGATAAAGTCCAACACTCATTCATGATAAGAACCCTAAAGAAAATCAGAATAGATGGCCTTTAGCTCAATCTGATAAAACCCATCTATGACAAACCACGCCTAATCAATATAGTGCTGGAAACATTAGCCAGAGCACCTAGACAAGAAAGAGAAAT